CTACCACTAGGGTCATCAAGCAATTATTCATGAACTAGAATAGACCCACGACTGCTTTGTAGAAAATTTGGATGGCCTATTCAGAGTGGGATTTGTAACTTTACTTTGCAGTCATGAACATTTAAATGTTGGCTTTATTGGGGGTTTTATTTGATTTCCTTTAATATGGTATTTTTTATTTTGAACTGACCCTGGAAAATATTCTAATAATCTAGCAATATTCTGTCTTGATACAGCAAAAACAAATGTTTCCTGCTGTGTTGATTGGAAAGAGGAGCAAGCGTTTCCTATATCTAGTGGCATATGGTGCTAAGATTTTATCATACTATCTTATAAAGAGCTAGGAAACTTCCTCTGCTTAAAAATGTGTGTTTATAAGCAATATACTTACAATGAATATTTCCATCTGTTAGGTGAACATAATTTGTGTAGGAATTCCAATAATAGGTAGAGGACTTTGCAACTCTTTGTAGGATATTTTCCCTAGTGAAACATTAGACTAAAGAGATGGTAGAAAACAGCATATGCCTATTATTCAATTTTGAATCTTGTTTGTCCCTGTTGTCTGAAAGCAGTACTATTTTTGTGCATTAGTTCATAGGATTATTATAGAAGTTCATAAGAATTTAAGATCTATTTGGGATACTAAGGAGAAAAATAGAGTGAAAATTATGTAAATATGATTATGCTCCCGTGAAAAAATATTGTGTTTGTAGCTTTACAAATCCATACTGCAATGACTGGTTCTATTTCTTTTTTGTAAAATTTTGTTCATTTTGTTTTAATCTAATCTCAACATTCCTCTTTATTATAATCTCGGCATATAGCAATCAAAGCTGCTGCTCACCTTCCCATTACTGATTTGTAATTTCATGAAGTGACACTGACTCTGTGTTCAGTTTGATATTATTCTGGTTGTCTTCATTAATTAATTTTTGGATGAAATGTTCTTCACAATAGAAGAAAAAAATTTAAGATAAAAATTCAAAAAAATTTTCTCATAAAAACTTTTATGAATCCTCTCAGGATCTCAAGACAGGTTATCAGAGGGAAAACATACTTTGATTAATATTTGCTTAATGTTGAATTGTATGAATTGACCAATCTAAATTTTTATTCACTTAAAAATCATTCTTATCAGTCCCTTTTTTGGGATGACTAATTGGACATACTTAAATTGAAAGATGGACAATTGGTTGAATATAAATGACTCAGGGTATGCTTGGGAGCTATAGAAATAAATTATGCTGTACATTTTGTCTTATTACCTGATTTTTAAATGAGCTTTCATTGATTGGTTTTGGAAAAAGACACTTTTAAAAATTTGTGGACACCTATTAATTGCACATCATTTTCGTATGAAATGGTGTTTTCTGTTTTTCAGGAAAAAAAATATTATGTAAGTGGGTTCGAGCTCTCTTTTCTTTCTCATAATAAACACCTTCCCATATGTGAAGTACACAAAGCTCAAGTCTTAGTCTTTGTTTTTTGCATTCATAGGTGAGTTAATTTCTTCATTCACAATGCATATCCATTCACTTTTTAAGAATTTCGCTAGTATTAAAGGTGAAACTCAGATTCTTCCAAACAAACCCTGTGCCACAGAGCTGCATCCCAGTTCATAATTTTTTATTTAAAAAAGTGACATGATTAACATACAAAAGGCTGTACATGATTAGTGTACACAACTTAATGAATTGGGAGATAAGTATACACCCATGAAACTGTTATCACAGTTCAGAGTATGAAGCCTCTGCATCACCTCCAAATATTTCTTCCTATCCTCTTTTTTTGTTACTACTATTTTCTTGTGATGACAACATGTACATCCTAACAAATTTTAAAATATAAAATTCTGTATTTTTGTATCCTTTTAAAAATTTAAATATTTTTATTAGTGTGTTTTTATAAGATATAATGTCTGTATTCCCCTTGGAGTACTGGTACATGCACATAACACTTCTTAATTATTTTTCATCCTTTTTTGTCCTCTCCATCTGTTAGTCTCTTGTCAGCAGTTATCCCTTCCTATTATCTTTTAGTTTGCTCTTTATTTGTATTTTTGATTTCTCATCTAAGAGAAACCATGAAATAATTGAGCTTATGTGTCTGGTTTATTTCACTTAACATTATGGTCTCAAGGTGCATCCATTTGTCTACAAATAACTCAAGATTATTCTCTATGGCAGCATAGTACTCTGTTATGTATAAATAGCAATAATTTCTTTACCTGTTTGTCTGTTGATGGACATATAAGCCACTACCAAGATTTAGCTATTATGACTATTGTCAACTATAGGTACTATGCTGTACAATAGACATCTAGGCCTTTTTAACTTATGAGGTAGACATTTTATTTCTTCATTTCCTCTCTCACCAGACCCTGACAGCTAAAATCTGCTAAGTAAAATCAGCCATAGGGCAAAAGGAAAATAGTATATGATAATAACTTACAAAAGTTAAAATAGTTTAACCACAGAAGCAGATTGTCCTGAAGTTTCATCCATATTGTTGAAAATGTTATTATTTTCTTTTTTAAGACTATGCGATATTACCTCATGTGTACAGAAGATAATCAGAAATACTATTTTTGGGGGCTGGGGAGATGGCTCAGTGGAATAAGCGCTTCCCCGGCAAGCACAAGGGCCTGAGTTCAATCCCTGGTTCCACAAAAAAAAAAAAAAAAAAAAAAAAAAAGAAAGAAATACTATTTTTAAATATAAAGATTATCACAGTAAAATATGTATTGCCATTAATTCCTCTCAAAAAAAATTTTGAGCACACTTATTCCATTGTTCTCGCCACTTTCTAAAGTAGTTCTGAAAGTCCTCTTTTGTTAGGCTCTTTCGGAGGTATGAGAACAAGTCAATGAATGCTCCTGCTAAGTGCCATCCAACTGAAAGCCAGGGATATTAAAAGGTGACAGTGCATCCTCATCCACATTGTTCACCAAATCTAGTACCATATAACTTCTAGCTGTTCTCCAAAGGCAAAATAATTGTGAATGGCAACCGTTTTGAATGGTTATTCTGGACCTGGGGATAGCCACACTCACCTCTGAAAACACCCCAACAACAATAAAAACAAAGCTTGTAAATGGACTTACAGAACTACCTGAGAAAGTAGCCAGAGTGATTGGCTAAGTGCATCTACAACAAGGGAAGCATTTTGAAGAGGATTAATGTCAGTATGTCTGTTACTATAATGTTTGAAAATTTAAATATTCAACTTCTCTTTCTTTTTCTTTTTAATTTTTAAAAAATCTTTTCTATTTATTTATGTATTTGGTACAGGGTCTTGCTCTGCAGCTCAGACTCATAGTGACCATCCTGTTTCAGCCTCCCCAGTGCTAGGATTACAGTCATGTACCATCATGCCTGGTTCCGGTGGCAGACACAGCTTGTCCAGGGTTCAGGGTCGTTCAAGGCATGTGGTACCAGGGATCAAATGGGGTCTTTGCACTTGCCAGGCAGGCACATAGACTACTGAGCTATCTGCCCTCACTTTTTATTTCCAGTGACACTTCCTATGTTTCCCTATGTCTTTAAAACTGCTCATCTGTCGATAGGTGCTTATATTGTTTCTGTGTTTTGGTGATTATAACACTACTATGAACATGGAAAATTAGATATTTTTTCAGGAACTTGATTTCATTTCTTTTGGATATTACCCAGAATGTGGGTTTCTTGGTCACATATGTGTTAGTTGTATCTCATAGTTTTTGAGGCCCTCCCACCCCCGTATTCTGTAGTGTCTACATCCAGTGTACATTCCCACAGTGTGCCAGGGTTTTTATTTTTTCATACCTTTGCCATCATCTGTGTGTCTGTGGATGTACAAATTTGATAGCTCATTATGATTTTTGCTTTCATTTCTAACCTCCCTTCTTTGATTTGTTTGTGAGCATTGTCTGGCAACCAATTAATGTCACATCTCAGGTAGTGAAGCAATTATAGGGCCAGAAGCTTGCTGCTTTCTGCAACTGGCCATGTCCTTACTTGTTTGGTAAGGTAGCACAAGTAAGCTTACATATTCTTACTTGTTTGTGATTTTAAAACATTCTAAATTACACTAGCAGCAAACCTAAAGGAGGCTTTTTATAGAAACCATATCTTTTAATTATGTCTAAATGTACTAAAGTTTTGGAAGGCCATACAGTTGTAAGATAATTTCTTATATCTACTGAAGTGGAAATTACACTTGAAATGGCTATTTTTGACATCTTGAAGTATTAAGTCAGGCAGGCTAAGTAGCATATACCTGTAAGCCCATCACTTAGGAGGCTGAGGCAGGAAGACTACTATTGAATTTAGGCCCAGGTTAGGCTACTGAACCAAGTTCAAAGCCAGCCTGCACAACATAGACACTGTCTCAAAAAAAAAAAGAAAATTAAGTGAATGTCAGCCCACATGGAGAAGTAAGAAAAGGTGTGTTAGTTACTTGGCAGAAGTTCACACCGAGATGGATAAAGAAGTGATTCTTGGGATGGATATACCGCATCCTGAAGGTGATATCTGAACTTTCACACAGAATAAAGCAACGTATTTTGTTAAGGTTATCCCCAACTCCAGAAGTCATTTCTAGAAATTTTGAGGTTTTTCAGGGAGTTAAAGGAAATAATTTTTGATCGTCAGGTAGCTGTATTTTTTTTTCTTTTTATGGTGGCTGTAATTTAAATGGATTTATCTTTTATTATTTACATCTTGCATGCAGCATACCATAAATAATATCTACCTTGCACGTGATACTGTGCTAAGCACCAGGATTGAATAGCAAATGAAACAGAGGTGGGTCCCAGCTTCACGTGCTATTCACAGCCTACTTAGGAGCAGATATTGATGCAGTAATCTCAGAAACAAACCACAATTGATACTGCTTTTGACAGGGAAAGATGGTGTAGTTCTTGGAGTATGTAAATAGCGTACATTGAGCACCTATTATATGAGATATAGGCACCATTCTATATGTGACTATTAACACTTCTTTTTGGTATTTGGCAGGTACATTATTTCATCCTTACAGAAGCATGATGCTGGATTTTACCGCTGTGTGGTGCGAAACAGAATGGGAGCACTGTTGCAAAGAAAATCAGAAGTTCAAGTTGCATGTATGTGTGCAGTCTACAGACCTTCTTCATTGACAAACATGACAAAGCAATTGTGGGGAACAGTTCATAATCACGTTCAACCATTGTAGGGACTGATAAGCTATATAAAAATAAAATGATTACTAAAGCTGATGAGAGATGAATAAACAGCCATGTGGCTGATTGGGGAAGGGCTGTGGAGGTAGATTCTGCTTTTTCCATCAGAAAAGAGGAAGGGTCCTAGCATGACCCTGGAGGAGATGAATGGAAGTATCAGGTGATTTCTATACTCTGAATCAGTTAGTCTTCTCTTAGATTGTGTTATATTGGGATTCAAAATGTTTATACATTTAGAAAAGTTGAGTCCAATTAGGTCAAATTACATGAAGTCATAAGTAGTTCTTTCCAATGATAATGTGTTTAGAAATCTTTTTGCTTGACTATGAAAAGTACATGGAAAGTTGATGTAGCAGTTGTTATAAATTTATAGCAGATCTTTTATTTATTTCTCTCCATTTTAGAGAATGAAACTTTTAAAAGTAATTGGAAGAGTTATAAAACTTTAGAGAGCTTGAATTTTAATGTCATCTTCAGGAGAAAGAGGTCAGGGAATTTGGCTTCTACCTATTGTCTTTTTTTTTTTTAACTGAAAGCTATGAAGAATAGAATCTATCTGAAATGAACTGTCTGCTTTATTGTGTTTCAATATACTACTGAATGTCTCTCTGCTTAAAAGTAAGCAGCGTTCTGAGATATTATGACTTTAGGGAACACTGTCTGGCCTCTTTGTTGGCTGTGCTATTTGGTGATGGTATTTCCTCACTTATTATTTTGACTTCAGTTAAAGCCTGCAGCTTTGTGTTAATATATAAAATAAAACAGTACCTAGTTATGTTACAGTTCTACCATAAGCTTTAATGACTGTGTGAGGCACTGATACTATCACGCTTAATTATGTTTTAGGTCACTAGGAAGGCATAAATTTTTCTGAATTGTAATGATGAAGTCACTCAGCTAATTCGGAACTTCTATTCAATAGGGTAATTGAAAACATAATAAATAGAGTGGCAATCAATACCCAGACCACATTGGAGGAAGTTAAGTGCCTGGAATTTAATATACCAAATTCTATTTTATAAATTTGAGCTTGGACTTCTCTTTGTTTAATTATGTATATGTTCGATTTTACCCTTCATCTCTGTTACTTACATTTTCTCTTAACTTCCTTTTCTTTATCCCTTTGATAACACATTTTACTTTACATCAAAGTAACCATGCATATTTTCTTAATTTGTTTTCTCTCTTCCCTCGAATATTACACACTATCATGCAAACAATAAGTTTTGAATGGAAAGACTATTATCTATAGTCTTTTATGGAATATTTCAAACTTAAATACATTTTTAAAATAGTGTTTCCTATATAGTAAGTCCCAGACTTATGATTGAGTTCCATCTTGGGAGAACTTTATAAGTCGGATTCGTTTGTAATCCAGCAAAGTGAGTCTTAAACACTACACTATGAATCTTACATAGTATATCCATGGAAATTCACAATTTGAATGTGTGTAATTTGAGGACTTACTGTATCTTTGTATACACATTTATCTGTATCTGACCATAATATGAAAACTTTTTAAAAGCATTTCAAGCTATCAGTTTAAAAGTCCTGTTTATATTTATACAAAAATGGCTATTTTTCTGTGACCTTATTTTTCTAACATTTTTAAGTGAGGGAACAATGACTGGCTGTCCCAAATTATGTCAGCAGTGCAAGGGTGGATGAGAACTGACTATAAACTATATAGTGGTTAGAAAATACTGCTCCCAAAAGACCTGTTAGGAAGGCATTCGCCACAGAAGTGAAGATGAGGAGAAACCCGGCAGAGCGAAAGCCTGAGCTGAGGAGATACTTGAAGCATTTTATTACTGCATCTGTGAAAACTGCTTCCTGTAGGAAGAGGATTCCTTTTAGCAGTTTATTTCAGTACACAGTCAGATGCAATTGTTCCATTGTTTTTACAGTAAGACAAAGGCTCTGAGGCTCTGCTAATTAATGCGCTTCTTGGCCACTCTTGAGGTGGAGGAATCTGCCTGTGCTTCACCCCCAGCCTGGTCAGCACCCCTCAGCACTGTCATTTAGCCTTGATTGTCTTCTTGTTAACATATAGCATCACTGCTGACTTCACTGTGAAATACAATTATTTCCACTTCTGAGCCCCACTCCCTGCAACAAGAGTGCTTTGTATAACCTAAACAGTCTCATTTTTCTCTGCAGATATGGGAAATTTCATGGACACAGACCAAAGGAAAATGGTTTCTCAAGGACATGCAGCAGTTCTCAACTTGCTGCCCATCAGCAGCTACCCTAGACCTCAAGTGACTTGGTTTAGAGAAGGGCACAAGATCATTCCAAGCAACAGAATGTAAGTTGCTCGAAACATTAAAGTCTCAGATGCAATTAATTACACTTGCTCATACCATTTGCGTAGTATGTGAACCAATTAAAGTGAGCAGTGATTTTAAAAGAACAACCTAGTCTGGTAGCCTTACCTCGGTCCTTAATAAAAACCTATTTGGGGACTGGCTTTATTGTTTTTAAGCAGCTTAAACAAGTGACCATGTAATGTTATTCTCCAGCATGCTTCATATCCAGGACCTAAAGCACCCTTACTTGCAGTTCATTCTTTTCTGCCTTTGAATGTACTTTTTAAGATGTCATTGTCGTCCCTGAATTGTGTTTAGCTTCAAGTACTGATTTAACAAGGGCTGATATTTACTTATACAGCTGTGGATCCCTCCCCCCTTTTATTGAGCCACGCTTGATAGTACTTTCTCTGACGATAAAACAGTAATTACTGTTTATTCCTCTTTATCCTTTTATCCTACCATGACAGTTTTATTTCCCTTCGTCTAATTAGTGGCTTGTCCATCTATTGCGGAATAGTCGCTTTGTGATTAGTTAAGCATTATTTCAAGGTGTTCTTGCCTATTACACATAAAGATATTTATCTAATGCCAGACAGGTTTTCTTTATTTGAATCTTTTATGATTAAAATGAACACTTGGTATATATTGCTTGATTAGGCATTCTGTAATCATATTTAAAAACACTTCCAAATATAAAAATTTCAGTGTTAAAAATTTCCCAAATAATCATGAAATATTGAAGGCTTAGGATAAAAGTCAAATATTTATACTGTCAAGTAGTTGTGTTCAGATAAAAATTCATGACAGGAAGAGGCTCATGTGTTACTTCTTTTTGTTTTATTTGACAAAAATGGTATGTGTAAGCCAACTTTCTGGGTAGGTTTCAAATGAAATTATAAAAGTGGCTGAGATTTACACCTGCCTTGTCAATATTTTCCTTTCATTTTATTAAATGTTATTTAGATATCAGCCTTTACATTGACTAATAGATATCTACATTGTCATAATAGATATCTCTTGAGTTTTGGTCGAACAAAAATGAAGAATAAATGTGTCTTTCCCTCAGGAGGCTACTAGACTGAACAAAACGTAGCTGTGATAGATTTCTATGTAAGTGTTCAACAAAGTTCCAGGGTGAGCACAGAATGGCAGGTGAAGATAGAATAAGTGTTGGGGGAGAACTTGTACCAGAAATGGAGAGGTATTATTGCTTATGTCTAGCTGTTCCCTCACAGTTTCATGCACTCATAGGTGGGGCTTTTGAAAGAAACTGTATCATGGGTGTATGATAATGGGTTAGTCCACTGATTGGTTTGGCATAATTCTGGGTGTAGGTAATAGTTTTACTAAAGAGAGAAAACCTACCCTAGGTATGGGTGGCATCAGCCAATAGGCTTAGATCCTAGATGGAATAGAAAGGGAAAGAAGGAAGGCTTGCAGTATTCTGTTTTCCTTGCCATGGACTGTTTCTCTGCTGCTATACCACCTTGCCTTGGAACCAGATGACTATGGATTGAAACCCCTACAAACTGTGAACTAAAGTAAACCACTCCTCTTATAACTTGTATGTTTAAGGTATTTTGCCTTAGTAAAAAGGAAGTTACTAACACAGGGGTATATTGAATTAGGCTTTATCTCAAGCTTTTAGAGCTCTTAGTTAATATCAATGTTAGCAAACAATAGTGGAATGATTATTTCAACTTTGTAGCAAGTATGAGTTAATTCATTTGTTAACCTTATAATCTAGCTATGATCATGAAATATTTATTCATATATTAATATGTACTTAATGCAATAAATTTTAATTTCATAAGTGTTTTTAAAATTCAAAATTTATGTTAAAGACTATTTTATTTCTAAAGTGCTATAATAATTTAATGATGCTATTAGAGCTTTAACTTAGCATATAATAAAAAAAGGTTGTTTATAATTGCGTGACTGTTGATAAGTCTCCAATCCCAGTGAAATAGTGTGATGGTCTTCCTTTTTTAAGAGATTAAATGAAGCTCATTATGGATATTTATACTCCTGCAAGGCCCTTTAGTTTTATATTTTCCACCTCATCATCACGTCACATTTATTAAGTACCTTCTGTGCAAGAAATCATAAATCATTATGGTCATGTGTTTCTCCACAAGTTTTTATGTCATTCAAAGATACAATGCTTTCCACTTTAAAAAAAAAATCTGCTTTTAAAAAAAAATTGAACCCAGGGCTTCACATGTGCTAGACAAGTGCTCTACCACTGAAGTACATCCTAGCCCTTTTTATTTTGAGACAAGCTCTCACACATTTATCCAGGATGGCAACAAACTTGTGATTTTCCTGCTCCATCCTCCCAAAGTAGCTGAGATTAAAGTGTGTGCTACTGTATCTGGCAAGATTTGCTTTCAACTGAAGATAGGCACATTGACATTATTCACGCCCCTGTGGTTGGCTGGCAAAAGTCAGATGGTTTTTATCACTTCTATACTACCAGAATTGTCTTTTTAAATCTGAAACATTTCATTCAAAGTGGATCCATTACACAACTGAAACACAGTTGCCTGCAGCTGCTTTTAGCTTCCCTATGCTCCAACAGTTCTCTAAGATAGCAGCAGGACTGTTCTTTGTCCTGGGTGAAGAACTACATCTTCTTTCCGCTTCACTTTTTAACATTATTTCATGACCTTTAAAAGCTAAACCTTAGCCCCATAGATGATTGTTTTTTTTTTCTAGAGAAATAGGAAGCCTGATGCTTTGCAATTTGAAAAGTTAATTACATAACCTTTTTTAAAATTTTTTTTTGCTTTCACATATATGTTTATTTGGTATTATTGATGAGGTACCCATGTAAAGTCTTGCATGGGAGAATACTACTTGATTGCTAAGGAGCAAGACAGCACACAGTCACCTTATCACAGTCATAATAGTTTACACACACAGCACAGTGCTGAAGCATCAGGTTCTAATTCCACATCTCTTTCCCACACCTTTGTGGCAGCAGATGTCTGCACCAGGATCTCAGAGTCAAGCACTGCCATTTCAAGCACACCTGCTGCTCCTGGGTGGCAGTCAGTAAAATGGTACAAAAGCACATGGACATCAACAAGGCATTCACACTACACAGACATCTTATGCCTTCCTGACAAGAAGTTAAGGAGCAGAGGTGGAGCTCTAGGCTGGGAAATCGACAGCATGCTGCATGGGTGCCAGATGAGGGGAGATAGAGAACACTGGTGTGCAGTCTCCTCTGCATTGAATGCCTCTCAGTGTTCCCTGGAGGATGGGTGGGAAAGATGAGGACACAAGTCTCAGGACTCCTCTTCCAACAGTGACTTCTGGTCTTCATAAACAGCTCAGCTCCCCAATGGTGACAACATGGAACTGTCTGAATCCCTACAGGTCTCTGTCTGGTCAGGATGTGCACCTTAGTTCTCTTCCAACCACTGCCCGAGCAGCCTCTGGAACAGTTGCTGCTGCTGCACCCCACCTGGCTGGAGGCCAGGCCGATTGATGCCCAGGCTGAGGGTCAAGCCACTGAGACCTTGCACGAGGGTTTCCCAGGAGGAGGGATTGAAGGTCCCATTCCCATCCCCAGTGACCTCAGAAATATTTGGCATGAGGGCCTGACAATATCTACATTGACATCTGAATTGATCCTGAGCTCTACCGCCTGGAAAAGAGACCCTGGTTTTCCTTTTGAGTGGGTAAGGTACCATGTGATAATGGTGCCTGTGTCTCAAGTGCCCAGGAAGGCTTTCTTCCTCTGAGGGAACCCCAACCTTTCTCAATGCTGCTCTGGCAGAGTCTTCTCTTCCCTGTACTGCTGCTTGAACAGTGCCTCTTGCGGAAGCACAGGGGGGTTGAAGCCAGGACTGATGCTCAGGTCACTGAGGCCCAGCATTAGCTGTCCTGTGGATGAAGGCCAAGGGACTACTGTCCCCTGCTGGGAGCTTTCTACAGCAGCCATCTGGGAAGATCCATAACACAGTCCTGGATTCCATTTCTGGAGTAGATCCATGGAGGTCTTGTTTGAGCCAGAAGCTCTGCCAGGTCCTGCGGTCTAGATGGGAAGTTGAAGCTGGAGGTTTTCAGATAACTAGACTGGAGGTAGGAAAGTGCAGGGCCAGAAGATTTCAGACGGTGGTGTAATCACTTTTTTGCCTTCTTTCATCATTTATGGTTCCTGGAAGGGGAATCCAAGATGGAACAGCCAGCATTCTGATCAGGGGTCCAAGTCCTCATGGAGGAGGGTAGAGCTTCTACAATGCCCCGGAAAAAGGAGTCTGAGTCCCAGCCATACAGAAATGGATGAGTCATTGTTGTCTGGTCTTTCTCACACAGGTGTTCTGTAATTTTGGTGCTTCCATGTATAACCGCTGTTCCCTAAGTTCAGATGAGGTAAATGAAGATCAGAGGGATTCTGCTACTTAATGTCACACAGCTATTTTCCGTTTACCACTCACTCAGGTGCCTGTTCACTATCCTCTGCAGGTCTTGCTGTCCACTTGCAGGCATGCTGCCTCCTTTCCTCCTACATAGCCTATTAATAACCCTAACATCCATTATTTTTTTTGATTTTTTTTTATTTATTGAGAAAGAAATAGCAAAGAGACAGTTTCAAAACAGGTTAGTAGGACAGTTACAATAATCAGTACATTGCATATTGTTGTCTTCATAGTAGCTATTCATAGTATAAGGTGCAGACACGATATCCAGTCCAAACACTATTAGTATAAATCTTTCTTCTCATTGAATTAAGAGAAAGTCGCTGTATATCTATCCTATTTTGTATATACAGATACAAAATGGTCCTTCATTTGTGTCTCCTTTTATGTTTAGTTTTGTCAGAGAAGGGTATTCCATTTCTATTTAAATATTGTAGGTGTGTGAATTCAGCAAAATAATCCAATATAGTCCAGTAGTCCATAATAGTAATGGATTATCTGTAGGGCTGGCAATGTCGGAAATTGTTGACTTGAGCCTTTTACAGCTCAGCATATTAATATGGCAT